GCAGGGGGAAAGCTATGTTAGAATTAAATCCAAAATCAAACCTACTGGAGTACTTGTGAGCTCCTTGTCATTGAAGATGAGATGCAGCTCAGCCTTTGGGGACAACTTCTCCACCTCCAGCCACAGCCTCACTTCTCCTTTCTCCAGAACATCAATGTTCCACCCAGATATCAGCTTGATCACTGGCAAACAAAGAGAATCGTGGAGGGACTCAGCGGCAAACCACAGGGTTTGGCTCAGCCAGGGTCACACTGGGGTTCCCCTTTCCAAGCCTCTCCATGTGGTTTCTCACTGCTTCAACCTACGTGGGTTCCTGATCTCGTGGCTTCGTTTCAGTAACTTGTCCAGATCTGAAATGCAAAGAATAACAAGTTCTTTGGGTTAGTACAACGTGGCTAAAACAAAATCACTGTATCAATTCAATTTCATTTTAAAATGAGCTTCATTTATGCCAAATAGAATCATAGAATCATAGAATCAACTGGGTTGGAAGAGATCTCAAAGATCATTGAGTCCAACCCTACCATGGTCACTAGACCATGGCACTAAGTGCCACATCCAGTCTCAGCTTGAAAACCTCCAGGGATGGTGAATCCACCACCTCCCTGGGCAGCACATTCCAATGCCTGAACACTCTCTCCCTAAAAAATCTCTTCCTAATATCCAACCTAACCCTCCCCTGGCAGAGCTTGAAAGGGGAGAAGCTGGTAAGTATAAAACATTGAATAATGGGGAGGACTAGAGAAGGTTGTGAAGAGAATTCTTAGTTATGTTGGAAACAAATGGTGGTTGTATCCACAGGGAGAGTGTTAAAGAAGTTTTAAATCACTGTGCTAGTGGAGCTGTGTGTGAAATTTGAACTGTAATGGAAAATGACTTTCCAGGAGCATGGAATCTTGCCTTGGGGGATTGTAAAAGGAACTGCCCTTGAGCCTGCAAGGAATGGGAAACATCTCTCTAATGATGCCACTGTCATTAAGTGACATGAGTCACTGACTATTCCTCTACCAGAAACTTTCCTCTAAACATCTAATATTAGAAAATTAGGGCACATCAGGGTTTTGTTGTTGGCAATTATTAGTTTTTACCTTCTTTTGTCAAAGTGCAGCTGGCAGAGATATCATCATCTACGTCTGTGACCTCCACTGAATAGACACCCAGGTCCTTCTCTGAGGGCTCTTTCAGGATGAGCTTCGATCTAGAAATAAGAAGAATAGTAATAAAACTTATCTGTTCCTCAGACCTGATGCCTCCTGTAAGGGAATGAAGTACATTAGGTACACCCAGAGCATTAAATATAGATCCCATTGGCATTTATATGTGACCCTGGGCAGAAACACTGGCAGGGTGACAGCTGATGAGTCCCTTCTGTGCAGACTGCACTGAGCAGCCCATTTCATGGGCAGCAGGGCTGGGAATCAGGGAGAGGGGAGGGAAACATTTGGTTTCACATTTTTGTTATGGTTTAATGTGTTCTCTGTCCAACAGTCCACAATGAATTTTCTCTGTGTGCTTTATACACTCACCTGTTGCCTTTCTCCTCAATCTGAACTCTGTCAGCATCTGGTGGCCCTTCATAGTCCTTTGACCAGATAAATTCAGAGGATTCATTCTTCTCAGGAGCTTCAAAAGCCAGATAAATGAAACCCTCTTCATCCACCCCGACTTCAATTTCATTTGTGCCTGTATGGCCAAAAAACACACCAAACATTCCTTACCAAAGCAGATCAGGGCTGAGCTTCTGCACAGTTAACTTAAAACACCCCAAGCAAACAAAAAATAAAGACAGTTAGAGCAGGTTAATTTGGGCTTTTGAAAGATGATTTGCTCATCTTTCTACCTGGGAAACATGTTGCTGATGTTTCATAAAACAATTTGGTTTTTTAACAGAGTCATCACAGTATTTACAGCCTGGCCCAATCTCGTCACTTTAAGTTTCATACCAGGTTTGGTTTTAGCCACCACAGGGTCCGAGGGGAGCGAGGGAGGTCCAATTCCAGCCTTGTTCAGTGCTCTCACTCGGAAAATATAGCATTTCCCTGTCTCCAGGTCTGAAACCTGCAGGAGACATTGCCAGGAATGGGCATAAGACTAAGTGAGAAGCAACACTTGGATACTAAGAGCATGTACAGACCTTCATGTGGGTGGTGGCTACAGGCTTCTTAGTGATTTGTTCCCATTCCTCTGAGCCTTCTTCACACATGTCTACGTAGTACCCTGTGACTGGACCTGCTCCAGTGTACAGTGGTGCTTCCCAGTGGAGCTGCAGGGAGGAGTCTCTCACTTCAGTGCACCTCACATCATAAGGAGGTCCTGTGCAGGCAAGGGGAGACTGTCAAACAGGAACACTAAAAACTTTGAGGTTGGCATCAGAGAGCAGGACCCTAAGGTAACAAGTGGATAGTGGGTTGGTAGGAGGTGATTTCTGTGGTGGTTGAGGGTAGGTTCTAGGAAAAAAAGCATAAATCAGCTGCTTTAATGTTTTTTGCTGTGGTGTAATAGACACAGTGAGATTTTAGAGCCAGATTCCTCCTTCTCTGGTAACAATATGATGATATCTGGGTGCAGTTTGTGTATAATGCAGAAATAATACCCTAAATCAGAACATCCCTGGAAGTGTTTGTGTGCTTTTCTGTACTGGGAGCAACCCCTCAACAGATCTGTAATATCCAGAAGTCACCTGGATTCATGGAAGAGTGAGGAGATAACTAGGACAGCCTGGTGATGTTTTTCTGGATGATTTTCCACGAGCTGTACCTGGTTCTGGCATTGTCCACTCCTCACATCTGAACAAGTCACTGGGCTCAGACACTTCTCCAACTCCAGCCGCGTTCACTGCACGGGCACGGAATTCATACAGGTGACCTTCCTCGAGGCTGCTGACCTTTGGGGGCAGAAGTGCAAACACTGTTAGTACATCCCTTCATGCTCATGGTCTTGTGAGGGCAGGAGGAGAGTTGTAGACTAGAAGGAGAGGAAAACCGGCTCAACCCTTGGTACAGCTGTTCCCTGCTGTGCTCAGAGCAGCACAGCATTACGACACAAGTGAGTACCGTGCAAACTCGTTGAGGAATTGGCTGAGTGTTGACTTCATGCCAGTCCAGGTCAGAGTTATCATGTTGATCTAGGAAGTAACCCAGAATCTTTGTTCCTCCTTTGCGCTTCGGGGCTTTCCAGCTGATGGTCATGGTAGTCTTGCCACAGTGCAGGAGCACAAACCCACGTGGTGCTGATGGACAAGCTGTGCAGAGAGAGAGAAAAAAACCAGGGAATTGCTCAGTGCATTTGGGATTTAAGGATCAGGAACAGAAGTGTAGGTGTGGGATGAACTGTGCTGAGGAAAGCTCTGTGTGCTTATACCAGGTGTGATTGTATTTCTGGTTTGGGCCTCTAATAACACTTCTGCAGTGTGAAGGGATTTGAAAATGACCTGATTGTCATTTGGAAGTCCCAGCAAGAGTCACAGATGTGTCTCAGGATGGTTCTTGCACGGTGCTTTGTGGTTTGTGTGACAGAAAAGGTGGAAGCAGTGGATTGACAGAATGAAGAAGAAAGGTTAGGTATTGGCTGATGTGGCTGGTAGGATTTAGTAACTGCCCTGAGAAATTCCCAATGCTGGTTTCAAGGCACAGCATAACTGAGCACTTAAAATGGTCACTTGTACCAGAGCCAAGTTAATGCTGAACATGTAACACATTGCCAAGTCAAAATGCCAGTTAATTAACTCTGCCCACCCTTGGCAGGGGTATTTGAGCAGGGTAGGAGGAAGTTGCTTTGCTTCTCTGCTCAGCATCACCACCATTGCAGGCAGTAGGATGGGTTTGCACGTTTGCTAGGTGAGCTAGAGGGATTTGTGTGTCTCACTACTCACCAATTGCTGGCCTGACAACGATGGGATCTGTTTCTGGTGAGCTCTCACTCAGTCCTGCCTCGCTGACAGATTTCACACAAAAGACATATTCTTTTCCAGGCTTCAGCCCAGGAACAGTAAATCTGGGAGAGCAAATTGATATGTTTGTGTTTGACTGTGCAAAGTGCAGGTAAACAGTGTTTTACCAGCAGTAATACACTTCAATAGGCCTTTCTTCCCACTAAATAATTATTTGCCTTTACAAATTAAAGTGTCACATAAAAGAGCTCCCAGTAAATCAGGCAGTGGGTATGGATCAGATGGAGAGGGATCACACTGCTGCCTGACACTGTCAGTGGAATAAACAGAACTTTTTAACAGGTTTTTCTCCTTGATATGTGGCCCTCACTGCTAGGGAGGGGCTCTAAATAATATGGGTGAGTGACATCAACTTACTCTACTGGAAAGCAAGCAAAAAAATGGAATGTGGTTCTACTGGTGCCCCAAGGTTTGTGTACCTGTGCAGCTTCAGTCTGTGAGGAACACACAGGCTTTGCTGTCAGCTTGGCTTTGGGTGTGCAAGTGAGGCTTTGGGCAATCCTGAGCTCTCAGAGAGGACGTGGTGTTTGTGTGTGTGAGCCTGTGTGGGGGAGTGAAGGAAGTTCTTTTTTTATCTGAAATATGACTCCAGCCATAAAGAGAAGAATGCAGGTTGGCCCCTTGTCATCTCTCAGTGGAGCAGAAGAGCTGAACTCACTCATTGCATGTCACAGGTTTGTTATTGACAGTTTGCCATTCCTCTGTCCCAGTCTCCCTGCAGTAGATGTAATAGCCAAGAGGCTCCAGACCATCCTTTAACTTATCCCACTGCAGAAATACAGATGTGTTGGTGTCTCTGAAAGCTAAAACCTGAGAGGGTGGAGGCAGAGGAGCTAAAAAAAAAGAAAAAAAAACACAGAGAAAAATAGGCAGCATTAAATTCTATAACTTTGACCCCTCCCCAACTGGGCCTGAGCACCATTTTCAAACTGTTGTTTCCCAGAGAAGCTGTGGCTGCTCCATCCCTGGGAGTGTTCCAGGCCAGGTTGAATGGGGCTTGGAGCAAGGAGAAATGTGGGCTGGTGGAAGGTGTCTCTCCCCAGGGCAGGGGGTAGATGAGATGAGCTTTAGGCTCCTTCCAACCCAAACCAGTCTGTGGTCCTTTAAAATCAGAGCAAAATGTCACTGACATTGTCCCTGTCTACAGGCTCTATTTTTATGTTTGGGTTTGCCTTATCTCCTCTTCCTCTCCTTACAGCCCATTGACTTCTGAAGTTCCACCTACGTAACTTCCTCTGAAGTAGAGGAAAAACAAGACTCAGGTACTAATTGTCCTTGACTCCACTCTGACCTGGAACTTGCTTCACTCTTGAGTAAAAGGAATGAATGAAGCAGCTTTCATGGGAGAGAATATAGCAAGATAACGAGTGAGTTCTCTCTCTGCACAACAAACTTGTCCACAAAGGAAGCAAAACAAACCAGCCCTGCAGAGGCTGCTGTCCTGTCTGAAGGCCCCAAAAGAGACTGCTGCAGCCTCGTGTCATTCCTTCCCCCCTGCCCTGTGTCACCTCCCTCACACCGTGCTGGAAACATACTTGGATTAACCACAGGCTTCAACTGTTTCCATTTGATTAACTCTAATTCCCCCTTCCCTGCTTGGTCAGATTTACACTGCACTGCCCAGCTGCAAAGTAATTAAACCAGGCTTTAAGGCCTTAAGAGATTTCCTTCTATCAAAGCATCAGCTGTGTAATCATATCCCACGAAGTTTAAAGCAAAGGAAGGGCAGGGGAACCCACAGGTTATTTCCAGAGTGCATCTCCTTCTCCAGATGGTTAGTGCAGAGCAGAGTAAAGCACTAATTACCCAGTGGTGCTCCTGCAGTGATGGGGTCACTGGGCAGGGAGGGCTCACTCACTCCAAACTTGTTCACGGATCGCACGCGGAAACGGTAAGATTTTCCTTTGACAAGATCAAAGAGTGCAAATCTTGGGGAATTAACTGGCATCTCCACATTCACCATTTGCCAGGAGTTGCTGCCTGCAATTGACTGGAACGAGAAAGGGCATGATTTACAACCCAAACCTTCCTGACCCATAACAAAGCTGATCTCTGTGGGAAAATAGTTAGGAAACCCCAAACAAAATAACCAAACCAAACCCATAAATGATGTATCTCTCAGTGATATTCCCAAACTTTACTCCCTTGGCAACTTTTTTCCCTTTGCAGCAGAAATGGTACAGCAGGTAAGCAATGAGTAGATATGAAAGGAGATAGGTGGAAGATACTAATTAACCAGCAAAATGATTAGTGGGGAACAGGAGAGTGAAGTATTGTGCAGTTCTTCTGGGCCCACAGGGCAGGAACAATCCTTCCTGTTAAAATTCTGCCACTGTTCTGTGGTGTGAACATTACTTGTTTATCCTGTGTTAATTATTAGTCCTGGAGCTGGTGTTGGAGTCAGGATCATCACTCAGGTCACCTGTGGGGCTGGAGGGAGGCTGAGCAAACCAGTTTTGGGGCTGGAGCTCTCCAGTTACTGACAGAGGGAATAGCCTTGTCTGTGCCATAGAGAAATGACTGATTCTGCTCTGCAATTTCCCTCCTGTGTGATTCTCTTTTCTTACCTTTTCCACATAATAAGTCAGGGGTTCTCTGCCTCTTGGGTCTGGCTCATCCCAGGCCAAAGCCACATAATCTTCTCTGACCTCACTTGCATGAACATTGGTGGGTGGCAAAGGAATTCTAATGTGTCCTATGGGAAGGCAGAATAGGCTTTGCATTATTGTGGCAGGAAAATAAAGTCCTTTTACAATGGATTCTGTTTTCCCACTATACATTCAGATTCTTCAGTATAAAGGAGGAGACAAACTGTTTGGGGACATAGAGGCAAAGCAACACTATCATGTAGGGCTGTGCTGATGAGGATAGTTCTCATCTTTATTCAACTCACAATGAAGTTTCACCATATATATTCCAACCTGTGTTTTCTCCAGGGTCATGTCACTAGAGATCTGGTGGTTGCAAAACAATCATTCCTTTCTGAGAGAATAGCTCAGTGGAAATTGGAACTTACCTTCCAGGTCATCCTTGGATACTTCTATCGTCCTTCCCTCGTCGTACGGAATAACTGTAACATCAAACAGGGCAAGGTTACCCACTCAGAGGAGCTGGAATGGTTTTTGTCAGGATGGGGAGAATCTGGACAAACTGCAGGAGGTTATACCTGCAGCCTCCCATTGTACTTGAGGAGCAAATCTTCCTGGTTTTAGTACAGACCTGTCACTCTCTTGTCCTTGCTGGCATCATAGGTTGTAACTGGGTCACTGGCTTTTGAGGGGTGACTGATTCCTGCTTTGTTGACAGCCTTGACTCGGAACTGGTATGTCTGACCTTCAGCAAGGCCCAAGACAGGACACCTGCAGGTTCTCACAGGCTTCTCATTGCATGGGGCCCAATCCTCTGACCCAGCAACACACCTGGAATGAAACACGGACCTCCTCCCTGCTATTTCCACAACAATATAATGAGCTTTTTTAGCTCTAAGATGATTAACTTACAGACCTTTCAAGGATGTATCCCAGGATTGGACTTCCTCCATCATCACTGGGTGCTACCCAAGAAACAACCAAGCAGTCTTTATTCACATCATGGCATTTCACGTTGAGTGGAGATCCTGGTGCACCAGCTGTTTGTGCTGCAGCATCTGTAGAAACACCACGTGGTAGTGGTTAGTTCTTATTCCCCTCTGTACAAATATTTTCATCCAACAGCTTGATTTTAAGTGTCCGAGAGCCTACATCCCATATTTTCTAATACCTAAATCACTACTGAAAAAAAGATTTGGTCATTTTGATAATTCTATCCCTGCACAAAATTGGGAACTGTTTTCTTGTGTTTGAGGTTGGGAATTCCTTTATGCCTTTACTAGGAAAGGAGCTTTGGTTCTCTGTACCTCTGACAAACACATAAGTTGTCTGTTCCTTATATCCACCCAGCGAGGGCACACGGATGGTGTAGAATCCTTCGTCCTCTTTGTGAGCACAAGGCACAGTCAGAGAGGCCTCACAGTCTTGGTACTTCAGTTCATGGTGTTTGGAGTTCTGCAGCAACTCACCTGTGGAGGATGAGAAGGGGTAAAGGAACTTCACATGGCTTGGTTGGTTAGGAGTGGCACATTCCCAAATGCAGCAGAAAACCATGTGAAATGAGGGATGTGTAAAACATTCCTGATGTTATTCTTGTGCCCCCAAGTTATAGTCATGGACTGTGATCCACAGAAACAGTTTGGCCAAGGTGGAAATCCTTGATCACCAGCAGAACAACAAAGAACATCCAAAAACTCTTCTCACTGGAGAACCACAGGATTTTCAAACACTTGGTGCTTTCTCTGTATAGGAC